TTGGGAAATATATTATTGTTGAGTGTAAGGGAAATATACCAGTAGCCAGTGCTGCAGTTATAAACTGTGGAAGACTTAAATTTTTATTTCGTGTCTTTTTCTAATCACGTAAGAGTAAATTTTTTTTGAAACATATTTTTAACATTTCATTATTTTACATACCTAAGAAAATTAAGAAACATACAGTTAAATATCGCAATTGAATTATTTTGTATCTAAAATAAAATCCATTTATTTAAATGAGAACGGAATTAGATGCTTACTCGGTTAATTGCTTCCAGTGCCTTCTCCATTAAGAATTGAATCTTGGTATGATCATGAACTAAGTGTAAAAAGAAATGATGTTTTGAAATGCTTTATCAAATTAAACAAAAAATCATAGGGGAAGTTCAAATATTACGCTAACACCTAAAGGGGTGAGGTTTTGCAATTTTGCTTATTTTTGCTGTCAATATGGGGGACGAAGGTTCTTTAAAATGCCTAAATTAGCATTAGACACTAAAATCCTTTATTTTTTTTATTTTTAATATTAACTTAAAAATGCAAAAAAAAAATTATAAAAAATTTAAAAATATTACGCTTGTGAAAATTTTAAATACTAGGATTTTAAAATAAGGAAAGGAAAGTTGAAAACAAATTTCGTCAAGAAGTGTAAAAATCTTATAAAATGAATGAAAACATAAATTTTGTGTTATACAAAGCTGCGTCGTTTATTACAGTAAACTCCTGCAGATGACTAATCGTAAAGACACGGTTGGTAATAGAACAGCGAAGTCCATCATCACTGGCTGCGTTCAATAAGAGGGTGGGTGACTACTTTGATCAGACAGTGTAGGGACCGAGGGTGCGCTGTATCAGTCCTCGTTAAACTGTTCTACCGTAAAGTGCTCGACTTCACGCGCAGATCGTCGGGCTACCAAAGTAAAGGAGTCATCCCCTCTGCAGAGGATCAAAATTCCGAAATCAGGTCTTCGGTTTATCCTGGGGGATGTTTCCCAGACCGTCACCAATAGCCCATTGCGCAGTTCTAATGCGACGTAAATAAAGTACCTACCTACCTTATTACAGCAAAAAAGATGCTGTGACTCTCTTACGTAAGTATGGGAGAAGAATTTTAATTCGCTTATTTTTGCTGACAAGGGGGTGCATTCTTATGTAAGTTGTTGTTGTAGTTCATTACGTCGTCGAGAACTGCACAATGGGCTATTGGCGACGGTCTGAGAAACATCCCTGAGGATGATCCGCCATCACAATTTTGATCCTCTACAGAGGGGATGGCACCCCCGCTTTGGTAGCCCGACGACCTGCACGCAGCCAGTGATGCTTGACTTCGGTGATTCGCTGGGAACCGTGTCTTAACAATCAGTCCACTCCGGGACTTCTAATGTAAGATAATGTTAGAACGGCCCCTACTTATTTTTTTTTTCTCAATGGCTCTGTTGTTCCATGAAACAATGCTTTTAAGATATATATTTTTATAACTGTTGTAAATTTTGCAACACGACTGTTAGGTTTCATCTGAAGCCAGCAACTTCTATGCTAATTATAAAAGTTACACAAAAAGTTGCACCAAAACAGCATTGTGAGAATTTAGCGACATCAAGAAAAGCCGCAGTCAGTGGTCTGAAAAACTGATAGAGCAACTTTTTGTCGTTTACTACAATTACTTTGTTACAAATGTAATTAACTGCAATTACGTCTCCTCAAATGTAGTGACTACAAACTACTTTCGAATTTAGTAACTGCTTCACCTCTTTAAGGAGAGGAACTTTGCTCGAGAACTTAATTTACACCTATGTTCAAAATGGTTTTGAATAAGAAATTGGCTAACATTAAAGAAAATGGAATAATTTAGAAAAATTTATTCATGTTACATGACCCAGTTTTTATTCTCCAAAAAAAAAAATTCGAATTAGTTCATTTAACCTACAACTTTTCATGCCTTTTTCGACAGGGAATATTTCATTTAAGAAATGCCAAATTATCAAATACTCGCAATTTTTTAATCATTTAATGGTCTTTTATTTTTTTCTAAGAAATTAAATATATCGAAAATACGTTCCCTTCCTTTGAAGTAACATCAATGCCTCACAAGTGTGCATTCGCATTTAAAAGTGTGAGCAAAGAGATCAATTGTCTATATTTCGTTGTGGCTAGTTAAAATATTAGTTATGCGTGATTTTAAATATGTAATTTCTGTTAACGCTCAGCTAAAGCGACAGGGTCATTTTGATTGCATCAATTGACGGACCGGCGGAGATTTGTACTCGTCAAATTCGAAAAATTAGTTGCATTACAACCTTGTTTCTTTTCTAAACTAACATTAGAAATACGAGTAACAGCAAAGTACAGAAATGGTGCAGGAACTTAGATGCTGGACGCACAGATGTTCATGATACAGGTGGCCAAGAAAGAGAGTCAGTGTCAACCTATGATCTTGCTCAGCGCGTGGATCAGGCGATTCGCGGAAATCGTCGGTTCGCAATTTCTGGGTTGAGTGATTTGTTTCCGGAAATTTCACAGTCAACTCTCTATACCATTGCGAGTGAAAGACTCGAGTACCGCAAACTCTGCGCGAGATGGGCTCCCAAGCTACTCTCTGAATATCACAAAACTTAGTTAGACCATCTAGTTAGTTAGTAGTATAAGAATTCTAGGCGGCTGACTTTGGAATTTGGTGCAAAATAAATTAAGCAGCAAGAAATGGTACTAAACGCAGAACCTTGACTTTTTAACTAAATTTTAAGTCTATAAAAAATAAACAAAATTTGCAACAAATAAATAAACTTAAAATTAATAAAAAAAATTGCAAAATTGTTTCTTTTAAAAAAAGGGCAATTTTATTAATTAAACAAAATTAGGGGTTTGCTGTTACCCCGAGTACCTCCACTCGCAAAGTATATGTACTAGTAAAAAGCAAACAGCCATGGGTCTTTTTTTATTTTTTAGTAAAAAAAAAAAGGAATTGGTGAATCGATTTTCAACAGTTCTTTCTGGTGAATCGATTTGAAGGAAAGGATCTAGTTAAATGAATCAATTGCGGCACATCCAGTATGAGTAGCAACTGATGATCCAGACGAGAGCACCTCCTCACGGCGTAAATTGACTAATTCTTAGCATTTATATTTCCTGTAAGAAATATGTTGAAGTTAGCTCTGAAGCGTTGAATCATTATACTAGCATTTGTCGACACGAAAATTAATCTAAATTTTTCTGGAAGTCTAAATTTTTGTCTCCAAAAATGATAATTAAAAGTAAAAATAAGAAAATAATGAAAAAAATTAAGAAAAAAATCATTTTCACCATGTTTTAACATTAGTTACCAATATACGGTACTGCTAATTGAGAAAGACCATAAAACTATAAGTCCAAAACAACAACAATGTTTGAAGTGACAACGTAGTGCAATCTGAGGGCAAGATTAACATTCGCCAGTATGAATACTTCAATTGGATTGGTCTGAAATGCAACACAAAAAAAATTAATATTATTTTTTCAGTCAGCTGAGCGGTTTTTTATGATCATTATAATTAGTTTTAAGGCAGAGTGAAAGTTTGCTTCCTAAGAAGAACGCAGAAAGTCATGCATTCTTGTCTTATTTTGTTTTCCTTCAATTTGTGTTTTGGATCATCGAAAGTTTTTGGTACACCCGTTAATTTCATTGAGCCTCTTTACTCAGCTGTCACAGCGCAGTTAAAAGTTTATTTTTTTAACAAAAAAGTTTGAAATGCATCAATGAGTCCTGCGCAAAGAGAACAAAATTATGCACTTTTAATGTTATTACCTGAATCATTCAGATATACTCTGATGAAATATCGGCAAATCTTTGCTGAAAAGTTGTTCTTCCACAGTGTGCTTGATACTTCCGAGACGACGTCTACAGTTCTTCTTACGAAATGTCTTTTATTTCGGGCGCTTGTGAAGCAAGCTAAAAGTACATCTTCAAAGCATTTGTAATCTTCGAATGCTCCTAATAGGAGAGAAATGCAAGTTAAAAAATCATTATATACATAGAGGATCGTAATTGAGTTCAGCTAAGAAAAACAGCTAATGGAAGCTTTCTCACTCATTACTGGAAATTGATTTTAACAGGACAACTGTCTCAACAAAAACTTTGAAGCCTACTCAAAATAAATTGAGAAAATGTATTTGAATGGAGAATTAAATAAATAAAAAAACTTAAATATTTATATTTTTGTTTGTTGCTCTTTCCGGTAGCTTTACATTATGTGATCAGTTTTACAGTTAGAAGAGAAACACACATACGTAACCTCTTTCCTTTATTACACTCATGTCCATAAATTAAGGACAATTCAGAATCACTAGAAAATCGAACTGTAAAGTAAAACCTTTACTTGGATAATCACATCTTCAAGAATGATACTCAAAGTACGGGAAGCCACACGATGACGTCAGTTGTGTACGAGTAAGAGTGTATATAAGGAATGGTGTAGTGGAAAAGAAGTAAAATTGTTCACAAGTCTTCTGCTATTTTTCATAACCGTCGTTGAACAGCCGATTTTTTGAGTTTCGAATATGAATGCTCAACTCCGTAGCGTTGTAATTTTGAATCCAATCTAGAAGACAAAGGAACTCCTGAACTAATTATTGGAAAAAAATTGCCACCGTGGAGAAAGAGAAATTTTCCGCAGCGGAGGACTTTTTGATGGAACTAACCCGCATTTGCGTTACATGAAGAGGAAAAGCACGGAAATCTCCCACGGTTAGCCTGACGACAAGGGGAACCCATGATCCGTCTACCACTGAGGATATTTTACGTCAGCACTGTGGTCGGTGCAAGCCGGATGTGGAATTCCTATCGATCAGCCATTGTTGGCATTCGATCACGGTTCACCTCATTGGAAGTCGAACCGCTCTATCCCCTGAACCATCACGGCTCCCAAGCGCTCTGTTAGCCGCTAGTGTTATAACCGAATTTTTATGAATATGACATAGAGGACCCATGTGGATGATTTCTTACGTGGTGCAAATATCTGCCGTCTGTAATGTGGGCATGCTCTTAACAGTCTGTTTAACGCGAGTATCGATCCTTATTGGCTGTTAAAACGTGGCATTTGTTTTATTAGCAACTGTTCTTTTCATTCCATTTCGAGAAAGCCTAGACCGTTAGCTATAAATTCGATATGCGTATTTGATTATCGTATTTTGTAATATTCTCGTGACTAATGTATAGATGTAAATTAATGAAATTTGTAATTAATACATAGCAAAACAAAAGAAATGAGCTAGTAAAACAAGCCCCCAACAGCTGTAATTTTCGGAAATGGAAAAAACTATCTTTTGCGGTACACATCGGTTATAGGTACCATGAAACCAAGTTCGTCAAAACGTAAGAATGGCAGATTCTGATTACAAACACACATAGGTGTTAGTAATCAGAACACTTATGAACAATCTATGCACCAGCTACAGTAACACACATAGGTGCATCAAATACAACAACATCGTGATCATAAACGATAACAATATTTATCGAATGGGATAATATCGAGTTCATTTTTGATAACTATAAATATCGAATAAGTGGCTATAATGATCGTTATCGATAACATTTCAAAAAGACAATATCGCGATTATACTTAACGACAATTATTGAGTGTGATATGATTGTGGGTATTGCTAAATTTTATTTCATTAAAGATTATATTGAACAATGTAAAAAAAAAATACCATGATATATTGATAACTATGTCCCGCAGTGGACTGATCGTTATGCCACGGTTCCCAGCAGATCACCGAAGTCAAGCATCACTGGCTACGGTCAGTGTGCGGGTGGGTGAAAACTTGGATCAGTCTGCGTAGGGACCGAGGGTGTGCGGTATTGGTCCTCGTTAAACTGTGCTACCGTAAAGTGCT